CCTGCTGGCCTGCTCACCTAACTGCCCCCCTGCTGGCCCTGGTCACCCCAATGGCCCCCCCCACCGGCCTGATCACCCACAACTGCCCTCCCCTCTTGGCCCCTAACTGCCTCTACCTCGGCCCCGCCACCATGGCTTTGTCCAGAAGAATGTCAGGAAGGTCTCCTGGAAGGTCTCCCAGTCTAATTAGCATATTATTCTTTTATTAGTATAGATAGAGGCCTGGTGCATGGGTGGGGGCCTGCTGGTTTGCCCTGAAGGGTGTTCCAGATTAGGGTGGGGGTTCCCTTGGGGGGCAGGGCGGTCCGGGCGAGGGGCTTGTGGTGGTTTGCAGGCCGGCCACACCCCCATTGGGGTGGGGGTCCCAACTGAGGGTCATGGCCAGCCTGGGTGAGGGGCTGAGGGCTGTTTTCAGGCTGGCCACACCTCCCAGTGGGGACCCTCACCCCTTGGGGGCGTGGCCAGCCTGGGTGAGGGGCTGAGGGCCATTTTCAGGCCCCTCCCTCAGAGGCCAGCCCAGGAAACCCAAGCCTTCCGCATGCTCAGGCCGGCTCCGTGGCCACTGCCCACAGGCCCCTCCTTCAGCAGCCGGCCAGGGCAGGCAGGAAGCTTGGCTTCCTCCATTGCCGGGGGTGACCCAAGCCTCCCACTCGCTCTGGCTGGCTCTGTGGCCACTGCCATCTTGGTCCACTAATTTGCATATTCCCTCCTGATTGGCTGTGGGGGCGTTGTGGAGGTACAGTCAGTTTACATATTTATCTATTATTAGTGTAGATAATATTATGACTGAAGGCAAAGCAGGTCAATTGCTGTGAGAGTGAGCCATTATTTTATAGGCAAAGGTGATGCAGCTACAGACAGAACACACAGAGAGAGGAACAGAGTGATAGGACAGTTCAATGTAATTCTAGTCCACCAGTTGTAACTTCATTTAGTAAGACCTAGTAGCAATTCATACTCATGACACACATTTAAATTTATAGTGCATTTTCATATCAATAGTTTCATAAAATAGCAAGCAGGCATCATTTTGCACATATTATAAATGTAAGTGGTTGCAGAGGTACAAAGAAAGTAAGTAACTTGTCCTAAGAGTGGAGAAAGGAACTCAGATCTTTGAGCTCCTCGTATATATTTCAGTACACTGTGAAACAGGATCTTAAATTGATGCTGGGAGTTTCAATGAGCCAGTGTTCTAAAGATGGATGTTCAGAGAACAGAGAGGAAGGCTGCATATTAAATTACAGAAGAAGGAAGTCCAGAAATCCAAACACTCATATGTTGCTGGTGGGAATATAAAATAGTGCAGCCACTTTGGAAAACAGTTTGGCAGTTCTTCAAAAAGTTAAACAGGGAGCTACCATATGACCCAGCAAGTCTACCCAAGAGAAATGAAAATGTATGTCTACACAAAATCTTGTATATGAATGCCCATAGCAGCATTATTCACAACAGCCCCAAAGTTAAAACAACCCTAAGTGTCTCAATTGGTGAATGAATCAACAAAATGTGACATATCCATACAATGAAATATTATTTGGCAACAAAAAAGGAATACAATAATGACACATGCTATAAGTGAATGGACCTTAAAAACATTATGCTAAGTAAAAAAAAAAATTGTCCTAAAAGATCACATATGATTTCATTTACATGAAATTTTCAGAATAGGTAAGTTCATAGAGATAGAAAGTAAGTTTATGGATGTCTGGGGTGGAAGTGGAGCGAATGGGGAATGACAGCTATTTGGAATGATGAAAATATCCTAAAATTAGATTGTAGTGATAGTTGCAACACTCCTTGAATATCATAAAGCCCACTGAAGTGTACATTTTAAATGGGTGAATTTTATGTATGTGAGTTACAACTCAACAAAGGCATTAAAAATTACAGGAGAATGTGTATTTTTTCCAACTCCAGGCCCAGCTTCAGTTATCAGCAATGATGATGACTCTGCTAGCCCACTCCACCACATCTCCAATGGGAGTAATACTCCATCATCTTCAGAGGGCGGCCCTGATGCTGTCATTATTGGAATGACGAAGATCCCTGTTATTGAAAATCCCCAGTACTTTGGCATCACCAACAGTCAGCTCAAGCCAGACACATGTAAGTACATCTGTTTATACTTATTGGCCCATTTGTTGCATAGCTGTATCTATAAGCGTGTTTATCAGAATCCTTGACAAGGATGACTTGGGGGAGGAAGGCTGTGAAATGTCTGAGTATTCTTGGGGCTTTGGGACCACAGAATAGATTCTTTAGTTTGTTTCTTATGGAATTCACAGGGCGTGTCATCTGCTGGGCTTGGAACTGTGGGCAATTTCTGGCTTCTCTTGGGATCCATTTTCAAAAACCATTTGTCAAAATGAAGTTGGAATCAAGGCATGCTTATCTTGAAAAAGAGAAAGAAACCAGAAGTATCATTAGAATGAACATATATCAGGCAATTGATAGGATTTAAATTTGGTTTATTGAAAATCATTAAAATATACATTATAGGTCATCATGAGGAGCTATGTTGCACACAGGTGGTAACAATTCTGGTAGTTCTGTATTATTTGTTCAGTCTTAGTTCTCAGCATGAAGCTTCTTGTGATGTCATGATAGCAAAAAGACATGTTAAATAATCTGACATATTTTTTAGAACCAAATGAACCCAATAGCCTCTATTGAAAGCTTACAGTTTTTTTTCCCCAAGACTCTTACTCTATTTTTTGAGACATTGCCCAAATACAAAAAATGGAGCACAGACTTAAGGACAACAAAGAATAAAATCACAAGGGACAAACAGGTCTTATGCCATTGGAACTCCAGACCTTCCCTTACACATGAATATTAGGTGACCCAGGTTCCAGGAGTTCCCTGGCACTGAATAATGGATATATTCTATTTGAATGTTCTCACCCCACCTTAAACGCTTTTATCCTGAGAGGTAAGGTGGGAATCTTAGAAGGGTAATATTTGGGGACTTACTTTCCACTGAGACTATCATGGGATAAGGAGGCTTAACGATGAGTATCAGATATGTTCACATATGAGGAAACACCTATTATTGCTTCCTATTTACTCAAATTTATCCCAAGGTACGTTTAACAGTGAATTCAAGTTTCATTGTTAAGAAGAACAGAATTATAAGCTTGTAAATACGTGAGATTGAACCCCACCATAGATTTCAGTTGAATATGTAATATGACAAGATAAATAGAATTGCAGATGTGAAGAATATTGAGCTTCTTGAAATAAAATTATTAATTTAAATCAAGGTATTTCTAATTCTAACATTGTCATTATGGTATGAACAAGATGTGTGGAGGTATTGCTTAAAAATGTGCATTTTTTGTTGAGATAATTATCCTCCAAAGGTCCTTGAAACACCCTGCATGCATTGCAGTCAAATGTTGAATAAGGCAAAGCAGGGTATTATGGTGAGAGAATCTGTCATCATTTTGATTGTTCTCCCTAGGAACAGAGTACTTTGACACTCCTGTCACCATCAATATCAGGCTGTATAACATACTTCATTTAGCCTGAGGCTGTATTATAATTGAGGTTGACTAAAATCAACCTGTTCCAAAAGTTTGCTCTCCTTTGTTGATAGTGGAAAAATAAAGCAGATAAAGCTGAATAATAAAGTATTTAACATCGGTTCAATAAGTCCAATAAGAGAAAATTAACAAATGAGCAAGCAAAGAAATAAACAAACAAACGAATGAGATCCTATAGAAGAAAGTGGATTAGATGGCTGCTGGGTCTATGGTTCTATCTAGAAGTGCTTTCTTACCCTAGAAATCCACAAGAAAGCTTCCAAAGGTCATTTCTTTAACCTAGAGTCTATGGAGATTTTTGCAAAGGTTTTAAACTAGACATTTTTATTATTTTGGAGGAGTCTTGGTTTTGTGGTTTAGCCACTGTATACCACCTGCGTTTGGAAGAGAGTTGAGGAGACCTACAGTATCCCCTTAGCTTCTGTCCTCTACCAGAGGGATCCAGACCATTGATTCTTAATTTGATAGTTCATTCCTTGGAAAGTCTTTCTGGACCCTTCACCCAGCCATCCTTACTCAGCTCAGTATTTCCAGTCACTCAGAAATTTTTTTTCCTCTAGGCTTCAAGCCATACACTATTTCATGATTTGAAGAACACTTAAAATCATACATCTTCTATGAATCATTTTTCAAAGAAATGGGAATGAAGAAGCAAATTACTTCTCTCCTTATCTTCACCCCTTTTAAAAAGTCATTCTTCACCCCATATTTTTTACCTTTATCTTCAATGTATCTGTTGCATTTTGTTAAGAGTATAACCACTCTCATGTATGTGTTTCTGTAGTCTTGTTTATGTTAGATTGTAAGCTCCTCGAGAGCAGAAACAATATCTTGAATTATTCCTTCATATCATGGGACATGATACACTTTTGATGTTGGCCAAATGTTGACCAGATATGGATATATATTACTGAAATATTAATTACTAACAGACTTGTAACAAGTAAAGATGACCCATAGCCTTCTTCATTGGCTCTATTCCTATTACACTTGCCCACATAATAGTTTACTTGTTAGACATGTTTTTAATAATATATTATCCAATTTAAACAGATTTAGATGACAATTTTAGCAGGAATAATCTCTTACCAAAAACCCTGATTTTTGAACATTCTAATAGCAGTCATCCAGAAATTAAAATATTTTAAAATGCATAAGTTGTATGGGCCTAGAGGGATCTGTTGCTCTAGGCCCATACAATTTTGGGAGATTAGCTTTTAATTAAGTGATTCCCATGGAACATTTTTTTTCCCCATGGAACCTTTAGAGAAGGGATCTTTCAAGAAGTTTGCTAGGTTACATCTGAATAACAAATTTAATATCATCTCAGATAAAGTTAAGAACTTTTCCCAAGTGCTTAAAGCAAAATGTCACGTGGATGATATACCACCAACTTCTGGACCTATTAGTGTCTTGGGCCATAAGCCAGCATATTTACTTCTCTTTCCTAAATCTACCTGCTACCTAAAGATGTTGGCTTTCAAATATATGTGTGATCTTACAAAGAAAGAGTGGTTCCAATCTTATTTTACTGAATTGTAAGAATCTAATATAGAAGGTGAATTTCAATCCATTAAATATATATTAACTATCCATAATACTCCTACAATGCCAGGAACTGCAGATTTAGTGGTGATAATGGCATGTTCCTTGCCTTCAGAGAGTCTTGTTAGGGAGGCCAATGGTTAAAGATTTCATCATATAATTACAATGCACTATAATAGAATAGCTTAGAGCTAGGGTCCTAAACTCTAATTACCTACAAGATTATGCAGGTCAATATGGAAACAGGCAAGGTCAGAAAGACGATATGGCACTGTGAAGGCTATGCTTAAACATGACCTGATATTACCAGATACTCATTTTTTCCCAGCAAGAACAGGCACTTATTAAAATATTTTATTGTGAATTTCCCCAAATTTAAAACACTGGGTGAGAACAATAAATGACACCAGGTTGAGTCAGATTTGATCCATAATCCACCATTTGTCTGTGACCCCTGAGTTAGACCTTAAAGATCATTTAATACAAATACTTTATTCTACAGATGATGCTTAGAAGTCACTTTTCCAAAATTAGCCTCCATACTTATATAATTTTGCGTTAAAAACAAACGAACAAGAACAACAACAACAAATCCCAAACAAAAGCAGACTGCTTTAAATGATATGTAAGATCATTTAAGTGAAGAATGTTAATAAATTATATCCCCCAAAGTACTTTTTACTATCAGGAGCTGTGTCAGGCTTTCATTTACCAAATCTAGAGATGGTTTGCAGGATTTTAGAGCAATCTGAACAGGGCTGAATTGCTCCTGAGCACTTTCCAATAGCAAGTCTGTCTACTTTATTGCAGGGCCCAGAGGTTCCCCCAAGACCGCCTGATAATAATTTGGTATTTGGAGGCTCCTGTGTCACTGCAGGAACTAAAGGAGGCTAAATCCATGCCTGATGGAGGAGAAGAGTTCTATGGTTATCTGCAAATTCTGGCCAGAAAACATCTTGACGTCACTCCTTAGCTTCCATACCCTAGCCAAGCAAGAAGTTACCTTCCAAAGAGAAAGCAGTGTGCTCTAATGACTAAGCCCTCAAAGTGCTATGCCACTTTAACTATAGACCCATCTCCTCGATCAATCAGGATGGCAAGATGGAGCTGAGGAGCTCAGCACATCAAGTCTGGAGTTGGTCTTTAATTCAACTAGTCTGTATAGACGTGTCTGAAAACCACATCATCTGACAGCATGGAGTGGTTTCCCAGTAGGATTTACAAACTTGACTCAAGGGCAGCTGTGCTGCTATCCTGTCCTTGATTGCTGAGAAAATTTTTGCTAGGCAGGATACAAAGGGAGCTGGAAAAAAAATAATGAAAGGGTGAAATAAAAAAAAAACACTAGCCAGCAAAACCCCCAAGTCATAAATCTTGGGTTCTCTTGAAGAGTGGGAATGTGTTATAGCTTCCCCTGCAGGAAAATCAAATGCCATAGACTATTGTCATTCCTAAAATTGTGTCTTTCCTAGAGAAGCCTTGTAAATTAGCTAGGGTCCTAGGCCTGGGGCCTAAATTAAATGAGAATTGTCCCTAAATATGTACTGTATGTGTTCTCACAGAGCATGCCCTCTATGTATCTAGGGCTAGTAACTCCTTGTGACAGATGCATATAAAGAACTCTGATATTTGTTCCTTTTGGTTCCATTTCCAATGAAATGGATCTTTATTGATTTCCTACAGAATGTGCCATATTTTTCCAGGTATTATAGTGTGTGAGTGTGTGTGTGTGTGCTCACGCGTGTGTGTTTTCCTATTGGTTATATGCTTATTAGGCAATTATGTAGATAAGCACAGATTCATAGACCAGCTAAGAATAAGGAAATAAAAGGTTATAAAGGCAGGGAGTGTTTTAACAGTAGTTGAAAAGATCACATGGGGCACCCTCCTCTTCCCTTAATGTCATACCCATACCAACAAAGGGAGAAAAAGGAGGTGATATTTTTCACAGAATTTCAGAGGTTTGAACATATTTGCAGTGTTACTTGAGTACCTATGAGAAAAAATTCTTAATTA